CATCGAGTGTGTACAACGTAGCGTGTAAAGCGTGAAAGAAAGAAAAAGGTAAAATGAAGATTCTACAATGAACACCAACAAGATTGACTATAAATAATTATTTTTTTATTGTTTATAGAGAATATTTTATATTTTATATATTTTGTTTTCAGTATAATTTTGGAATTTTTTATTTGTGCAGATTCGAGCAAGAAAGGCTGAATAGCTTCATATCTCAATGGACATGCGCACACGTACAACTAACAGATCTTGCTGTAGCTGACTTTCACTATACGGGCAGATTCATCGAGTGCGCTGTTTTGAATGTGGTCTGGAAGTATGTCATTGGGAAGAAGGTGATGACCCTGTGACGAAAGCCAAGCGCTGGGTCGGCCGCTGCCTTTTCATTCGGAACAGAAGTTGCGGCAATCTATCGATCGGATCGAGCCCCGTACTAGTACGTCCTCGAAGAAGTAGAGATGATTGTGGACGGTATAAGCCAGAGTATCGAGCAGCAACAAAGTGGGAAAAGCCAGCGCGCGTAACGGCTAGCATATATACTACTAACCCGCATGCATGTACAGACGAGTCTGCGTTATCATTGATGAAGAGTCTTATTACAAAACTTTTTTCTGACTTATGTCGAATACATCGAAAGATGGTTGACACTGGGATTATTGGCTTTGAGCAAATCTGATGAGCGTTCTCGTTCGCCTAACGTGATTAGCCTTGATCGTGATTGGCAGACAGAAGCTGCAAGCAGCTATGTTCATGATTAGAAGCGTTTTACATCTGCTAAACGAATAAAAGAGTAGGCTGTTGGCACAGCCTCCCATTGCCACTTCATCGATTGTCGAACCTGCTATGAGCAAGCATAGTGAACAATTCTTATACGAAACTCTCGTTATTTTGGATGTAGTTGGTAAAGGTCTTGAACTGGCTAGTACTACTACTACTACTACATCAGCTGTTGTCAATTCAGCTCAAGACTCAACAGTTCACTGGAACGACATCAACAGTGCGTTCAAACACAGAATAAATACTGATGTAATAACCAATCAGAAACATCTGGATTTGAATACGTTTTTGAGGCATGCTAAACCATTATTCCATGCTAAAATTAAGCAGACCCTGAAGAAACATAGTTCGTTAAAAGTAAATGCTGTACTAGATGCCGAGTATGCAGTGGAAAAGAATAATTACGATAAAACGCTCGATGTGAAGCATTTTAATACGAAGATGGCATAGATATACTTAACTACAGACATAGACGAGTGGTTCATTGAAAACGTTCTAGATAAAATCAAGGAAAAATTTCAAGAGCAAGACTCGGGCTGTTCTCTTTGTGTTATATTAAACTTAATCGTAAATATCAGCAAGATCAATCCTATGAGGACTGGTTCATACGTTGAATTGCCCGAGCCTATTAGAAGAAAGAGAGTATGTGTGAATATGCAGAACAACGACAACGAATGTTTCAAATGGGCCATCCTTTCGGCATTACATCCATACGCAAAGAATGCATGTCGTATCACTACGTATACCGTTCATCAAGATAAATATAATTTGAAAAATCTATCATTTCCGGTACATCTGAAAAAAGTCGAGAAATTTGAAAAACAAAACGACGTTTCAGTGAACGTGTACTTTTTAAATTTTAAATAATGGGTTCTACGAGTTTTTGCCGGAGCATTTGACCGATGAGAAAAAAGAAAAGCACGTGAATCTTTTTCTAGTGGAAAATTATTATATCGATGTTAATGCCGAAGTGAACGAAGAGCAAATGGAACGTTTTAGTATACCTTACAAAGTGCACTATGTTTGGATAAAAGACTTATCTCGATTGATGTATCGACAGTTGTCATTTCGCAGATGTAAGTCGTACATATGCGATCGTTACTTACACTATTTTCAAACTAAATGGAGATTGAAAACGCACGAGATCGACAGTAGAAATATGAATACGAGGTGTGTTCAAAAAATACCCGGAATTTTTTAATTTCGCGGGTCTGGAGGGTCCGATTGTCAGAATTTTTTTTTAGTGTGTTGGTATACATGCCCCTGAAGTATGATAAAATTTTCAGCTATATTCACTGTTTACTTTGTCTGCGGTAGTCGCTAAGGATTGATGTGTTTTTATGAGCTCGGCGATTTTCGTTTTCTAAAAGAAATGGATCAAAGAATTTGTATTAAATTTTCCGTAAAAAATGAAATAAAGTGTAACAAAGTGTGTGAAATGTTACAAAAAGCCTATGGTGAGTCTGCTATGAAAAAAACAAGTGTTTATGAGTGGTATAAGCGTTTCCAAGATGGCCGCGAAGACGTTGAAGATGACGAACGCTCCGGTCGATCCAGCATGTAACAATCAATGAAAATGTGAAAAAAGTGGAAAAAATGGTTCTGAATGATCGCCGAATCACAATTAGAGAAGTTGCTGATGAAGTTGGCATATCAATTGGCTCATGTCATAACATTATTTCAAATGTTTTGGACATGAAACGGGTGGCAGTAAAATTCATTCCAAAACTGCTGAACTTTGACCAAAAAAACAATCGTATAAACATCGCTCAGGAGCTGTTAAACGACGTCAACGACGATCCAAGTTTGCTTGAAAGGGTCATAACTGGTGATGAAACATGGGTGTACGGTTATGATGTCGAAATCAAAGCACAATCGTCCACCTGAAAGCATTCAACGTCACCAAGAGCGAAAAAAGCACGTCAAGTTCGATCAAATGTGAAGGTTTTGCTTACAGTTTTCTTTGACTGCAGGGGCGTGGTGCATCATGAGTTCTTATCACAAGGACGTACGGTTAATAAGGAGTATTACCTTGAAGTTATACGACGTTTGCGTGAAGCAATCTGAAAAAAACGCCCCGATTTCTGGAAAAACAATTCATGACTTTTGCATAACGATAACGCACCTGCTCACTCGACGTTGCTTGTTCGTAATTTTTTGGCCAAAAACAATGCCGTAGTAGTGCCCCAACCTCCATATTCACCAGATATGGCTCCGTGTGACTTTTTCCTGTTCCCAAAGTTGAAGAGACCCATGAAAGAACGGCGTTTTTCCTCGATTGAAGAAAAAAAGGCCGAATTGCTGAGAGTGCTCAAGGACATACCAAAAAGTGAATATCAAGAGTGTTTCGAAGATTGGAAAAAACGCTGGCTTAAGTGTATTATATCTAGAGGGGATTACTTTGAAGGGGACAGTGTCTGAAGTTGCTCATTGTAAAATTCATCACTTCAAAAATGGAAGCTTCTTTAACTTTTTTAAATAACAGGGGAGGTGTTACGTCCCAAGTAAGCCAGATATCGGACGCTGAAATGTTACCGAAACAGCAGTTTGTGTGCGACTCTCAATCTTTCTTAAGCATACGATTAACTGCGCGGTTCCTTGTTCTCGGCAGTTTTGGTACAGATCGACCTTCAGACGAAATGTGCATGTAAGTCGACGCCGTTTTTGACGGAGAGAGAGAGAGAGAGAGAGAGAGAGAGACGTGTAGCCTTCCACCTAATATGCGCTTTTGACAAAAATACATCGCAAAAGTGGGAGAGTCACAGTCCTACTCTCTTACGATCTTGCAAGAGGTGCTAAATAGGATAAGGAACGACTAGCAAAGCTGAATGAGCAGTTAGCTCATTAGCCGGTGGGTTATCACGCCAGTGAGTGGGCCATTGCGGGCCTTTTTCACGATTGTGGAGCGGACTCGACACACACTCCTCGATCGTGAGCGAAACCGTCACGAGCTACGTGAAACGTTTAATTATGTTGTAAGATTACCAGTGTAATAGTAATAAAGAAATCGATATCATCTAAAATTAGTTAAGTTTCTATCAATCCGAAACTTTCCATCAATCCCTCTTGAGTTGTGAAATGTGACTGGCTGTGAGCGGTGTTTTTGGTACATTTCACTATTCTCATGGACATCGGACTTCAGTTCAATAAATCGTAGGAAAATCTACAAGTCAAAGGTGGCGAAGAGTAATTCGCCACGACAGGTTTTTCCTTTCGATAATTCTCCCTAACTTCGCTTGCTCTAGATCAATTTTTCCAGTAAAATACAGTGATACTCGAGACTAGATACGAAAAGTAAATATTTTGTAAATTCTGGACGTAACACTTTTTTGAAACAAATATTTAATCTGAAACATTTCTAGAGTGTTTCGTTACTTTTGAACACCTTGTATATTTCATAATTATGGCGATATTATAAGAAAAATATTTAGAAAAATGTACTCTAATATAATATAAAGGTACCGATAATATGGAAAGAGAAAGACAGAGTATACAAAATACACAACCCAATTTACCCAAATATAACGCAGTCACAAAGAAGCGAAAGAGAGCATACTAAATTCTTCGAGCATTCGATCAGAGTTTTGCTTGCAAGCCATATGGATACCTTCCTTTGTTATTTGCGTTTTCGTCCTCGTACGGAATAATTTTTTCAAAAAGCCTGTAATCCACCATCCTTTCGTCCCCTCACGAACGAACGTACAAAATAGTATTGAAAAGAGTTGCTACTATCTGAGGGCATCTGCTACGATGCTAGTTATTGCAAATAAGATCAACTTGTTCTTTTCCTCATTCCCCTCTATCTCTTACATGTATCAAATCAGGTCTAGCTTGTACAGCTCACATTGAAGCTGACAGCATGCTATTGATGTTTTCTTCGATAACTTGTACACGTATTCAGAGATTGCCGAACAAACTTCACACCTTTGTAAATTACTTTTATGCTTCATCTGTGATTCTATCTACTGCAGTAAAGATTATGTCTATCATACATTTTTCTACATGACAAATAACGTAGGTATTGTGGACTAGAACTTTCATTCTTAAAAGCAAAGCTTTCATCCTAGCGATCAAGAACTCTATTCGGATGAAACAACAATGATTGAGTCTCTATTAGTATTTTAGACTCTTTTCCTTTTGTGTAAAGATACTTTCAAGTACGTCAGGTTTCCGAACCACAATATTATGTAAAATACAAAATATAATGTTTCACTATATCCTACCTTTCACTATCAGGTGTTTCACCTCTTATGTGTGAGCCTCTGTCTGTATCAGCTGATTCGTAAATCCCTTCATCCTCGTGTAATTGACGGGTGTGCAACTCAAATGGGCTTCGAGAAGTCGGTTGTCGATACCGACCGTATACAAATCGAGTATCATCATCTCTCGTCCTGCTGCATCTTCTGCTTCTGTATTAATGAATATTTGAAAAATTTCAATAACTGCACAAAATTATTTATAATATTAAAAATATGAAGTATAACATTAAAAAATTATATACAGAATTATCTTAATGATTCATAGACTAGCGTCGGATGTTCAATTACTTATTCAAAATTTATTTACGAAATCCACGTTTTATTACAATCGTTTCAATTGATACTATTATTAATTTGAATAAATATCACTTTATTCAAGATTACAGGAGCAATCGGTGGTATGTGTGCCACAAGATGTAGTCACGTGATCCTACTATCAACTAGTTATCATGCGTTCAATTTTTGTAAATCCATGTATTACAAAACATTCAACATATTGTTATCGTATGTTTTAATATTATTCCTACGTAATTTATTGATAGGAAAACCAATTTTCATGCAAAGTTCATCCTTTTTACTTTTTTAGAAATTAAAATTTAGATACGTCAAAATTACGATTAATTTTTTTTTTTCGTAGACTTTCTTTCATTTATGATTTTTGTAAGATCATTTTTTTTTTACATGATAGAAATTCGACAGATGAGATGGAAGTACTTGAAGATAATAAGGAATATCAATCTTTTTTCAAGTTCAATCAAGATGAACTTAGTGATTTAGTTCGAGATATAGGACTGTTAAAAGAACTTTCTGAGTTGTCAGTATCGTAGTTGCAAGAACAAAATTGCCTGGCTCCTGGAACTCGCATAAAATTTTATCGAAATCAAGATAAACGGTTTAGAAAATTTTTTTCGGAAGAAAATGATTTGAAAAAATTGCAATGTATTTCTTGCATGATTCTAACAAATCTTTTTCTTGGTTCTTTTTCCATAAGTTTATATTTTTGAAGTAAAAAAATTCGTGAACATAATGGAAAAAATTACGCAATAGAGGCATCATTTTGGACATCCTCATGTAAATAATCGATTTGGAAATCATGTATTTGTCAAATTGAAACATTTGTTCCATCGGTTAGTATGGTTCCAACATCATTATGCATCAGAAAACTTTGGAAAACTCGACTAAATAACTCGGATAAATAATTTTCTGCAAATATTATGTGAGCCCCATCGAGAAGAGCATCGTTCATCAGACATTTAGAATATTGTCCGCACAATACTTCTGACGTCAGTCACATTAGTTATGAGCGTTCAAAGACTGGTGTATCAGACTTCTATTGAAAAAATACAGCTGGAAATCCAAGCTGGATTTTTAGATGGTCATCCAGTTGGATATCTATGTAGATTAATATTAATTCCGTATACTCGTAACCTTATGTTTTAGAGGGATACTGGAAATAATTATTGCTATAATAGACTAGTAGCGAAAACTGGAAGTATGCAATGTATGTTTCAGGATAAATTTGTTCCTATGAACTAGACCCTATGCTTAAGCATATATTTATGTTCCCTAGGTTTCAAAGAGCCTAATTTTTTTATCAGTAGAATTTAAATACAAATTAATTTGGAGATGGAAGAGGGTACGCTATTCTCTCTCTCTCTTTTTCTCTCTAGCATAGAGGATACGGTTCCATAAAGCCGACAATAATTTAGAGGTCTAAAGGAACGCTACCTCCTAGAAGAGAGGATACGGTTTCCCATGCCGCGGCCGATGCCTTTAAGGCGCTACTGCTGCCCTAGCTGAGAACTGAAGACTGCTAACTCAGTTTCTTGTAAAAATATAATAAAAAGAAATTTTTAAAACTTATTTATAGAGTTGAATCATAGTAAATTCTACTTATATATACATTTTTAAATATATTTATTTAGAAATAATTTGACTTTTTTCATGTCATGACTATTTATTTTTTTATACAATAAATTTATGCTTGTTGAATCTTAAACTAAATTCTTGACGTCACCGCTGATTGGATTATACTATATAATTTGATTATGTAAAAATTAAACAATAGGCGGCAGTGTTATCAGGAAAATCTCTCGTTTCAAACTCGAGGCATACGTCTACAGGCGCACTTTTAATAGATTCGTTTTATTTCGAATAATCTATTACGATTATCGGAAATTTCTCGATGAAATCTTTTTTATTAAGCAACGGTTCATTTTCTTTTCTGTAATATGAACTTTGAAAACTAGAGTAAATATTGTAAAGTACTGCATACAGTTCAATATTTAGATTACTATTTACAAAATGATCGGATTGTGAATTGAGAAATAGGTTTACATTACTAATGTTACAGTTTTTCGTTGAGTTTGAAAGGCTAAGGCTAATAATGAAGCGAGGTTTTTCTAAATGATTTGATGTTTTTACACTTGAAACATGTTTTGATGTGTGAGGTAATTTCGGATACTCGTAGAAATCACAGATGCGATAACTCATAGTGATTGCTCTATCGTGACCAATTTGATTAAGTAGTTTGACTTTTTGTCTATCGATTACTATTATGTATGGCATTAAAAATTCAATTTTATTTAAAGTTTTTTTTCTTTATTTTATTACTCCAAGACTATTTGCAATCTGTCCACAATAAGCAAATTTTGTTGCTATTAGACATACCTATATAATAAACAGCAGTATAATCGAGTAGGTATATACTGTTTGTTTTACAGTATAATTGAAATAATTACGAGTAAGTTAATTTATTTGCACATTCATTAATTAATATTTTTTTAGTCTGGTGTTGGCAATAGATGTCTTGACAAGTTTGTTGACAAGTTGATTTGGGTGGTTTCGAAATATGTAATTATATTTTGCAAAGAATTTGTTCATTGTTTCTTTTACTGTAGGTATCTGTAAATCATTTTGAATAATTCCATTAGGTATGAACCTGTGAACTTTCCATTGAAATCTTTCCAGGATTTCGATATTCGAGTTAGAAGCAGCACCCTATAAGTGAATGCCATATGTCCAGACTGGTTTAAGTACAGCTTTATATAGTAATAGTTTCTTTTAAATTGTTATCTCCGATTTTATTTCGATGAGCTAGTACATTTTCCTCCATTTTAGACCTAACTGTTTACATTTGGTGAATATATGCTCCCTCCATGTAAGTCTACGGTCTAGGTAGATAGCTAGATATTTTACTTTATTATTTTGCGGAATATATTAATCTTTTAATATAATAGGAGGATAGGTATCTTCCTAAAATGTGAATGTCGTATGTATTGATTTGTTTTCATTTACTATTATTCTCCAGTAGTTAAGCCAATTTTGAAGGTAATTTTTTATGTAGTTTTGTAATGTTTTGGTTGTTACTGTTTCCTCTGGGTGCACTGTTAAAATTGCTGTATCATCTACATATGTTGCGGTCAAGATTTCACTGGTAAAAAAATACCAGAGACCCAATCATGCATTAAAAACAATTGTTAGATTTCTTATTGCAATTGGGGGTAAGATTTTGATCATTTTTTCTGTGATATTATCAAAACCGGGAGCTATTATATTCTTAATATTATTAATAATTTGTAATAATTTGTTTATTTTAATCGATTTGATTGACGTACTGTATTGGACGTCAGAGTTTTCTAGTAAGATTTTTTTATCTTCTTCGGTTCTTATTCTTTGGTGAGGCTTGAATACTGTACTGAGATGATTTGCGAATGTCTCAGCTTTTTTTTCGTCCGATCTTGCTTAGTTACCACCAGATTTTTTGATAGGTGGTATAAATATTATTAGTCTATTAAGTCATTTAGTAACTTTCCATAATGAATAATCTGTTGCTTCTGTTCTTAGTTGATTTGACAAGGAAGGTACCCCAAACCGAAGTCACCGATTTCGATAATTCTTGTATATGTTGTAGTACATTAAAAAATCAAGAGATTGATATTTTTTTATCGACGGAAAAACATATTTAAGGGGTAAAATCCACTCTCAAAGTTCATCCTTTGATGTACACAGATGTATGTGTACACGAGCGCCGAATAACGCGCATGTATAAGTGCGCTGCCCACGTGAGTCGCGGCATGTTATCGTGCGAGCCGAGGCGAGTCGCCGAAACAGGCAGTGATCGCCAGGCGCTCATGGCTATCACAGTGAGCCTCGCCAGCATACTTGTATACACTCAACTAATTGGGCTATATTCACTATGAAATAAAGGTAGACTTAGAAAATACAACATTCACCTTACTCCTGATTCCATACCTCCTAATGACGAAGCCGAGCAACTAACGTGAACATAGCCCTGCTAGGCATATGTAACAGTGGTGACGAGGACGAACCAGTGATACTTGCCGGTTATAAGTGTTGGTGTGTTAAATGAGTAACGAAAATGCAGACATTGTGAAAATGACTGAGGTTAAAGTGGGCTGCGTGTACAATTTAAATAAAAATAAAGCTATTGAAGAATTAAAATCAAGAAACGTAGAATTCGACAAGGGAGCAAAGTTAGATGACTTGAGAAAATTACTCGCGAAGACCATACGTGAACAGATAGTTCCGCCCAAATCAAACAAGCAGAAACAAAAACAAACACAAGACTCACAGTCCGAGGATAGTAGCAACGAATCAGGAAACGAAAACATGGCTCACTCGAACTCAATAAAGTTGGAATTTGTGTTAGGTAAAGACGATTGGGAGACCTTCAAAGATAGGCTGGAAATTTTATTCACGGCCAAGGACACAAAAGATGACAAAAAAAAAGCTACAATGCTAACCCGCTTCGATGAAGACGCGTTCAAGTTAATTAAACACTTGTGCGCGCCAGACAAACCGTCAACAAAAAAGTACGAAGGGCTGACAGAACTTATGACAAAGCATCTTGCTCCAGCACCGTCAGAAGTAATGGAACGTTGTATTTTCAACCGGGCACGTCAAGAAAGCGACGAAAGTGTGTCGGACTTCGCGGCGAGATTAAAGAAACTGTCGCTTCACTGCAATTACCCAGACTTGGCAACTGCTTGCAGAGATCAATTTGTATGTGGCATATGCGATGAACAAACACGTATAGCCTTATTCAAAACTGTTTAACTCACCTTTGACCTTGCTTTCAAAGAAGCTCAAGCACGGAAACAGGCAGTTAAAAATGCAGTAGCATCAAG